CTGAGTAATTAAATTTAATTACACTTAATTTTATCGCTACCGGTGACATTTAGTTATGACTTTTTAACCCATTGTAAAGATCTCGAATTATGCTATAGGCATGATAAAGAATAAGTCGCTAATCATATATGTACTTAAAATACTCGTGGCGATAAATAGTGATGATTAATTTTTCAGAATCTATCTATTTATCTTCTATTCTATATAATTTTTTTAATGGGCAATAAGGTAGTTGCTCAATAGCAGAAAGTGCAAAACTAGGGTACCTGGCACGCTTAAAATTTTTGGCATGCCAAGTGACATGTCATTTGTTTAAATTTATGCCAGGATGACATCTTTGCATGCCACTGACACATAATACATATTTTATACATATTTTATATATATTTCATATATTTTGTACTGCCTTATTAACACCAACCAATCATAATGCTTATTTTTGCATAACTTTTGGCATAACTACTTTGCCAGGTACTCTAAGCAAAACCCGTATGTGTTTTTTTTTTTATAGCAATCTGGTTTCACCGGAATGAGGATTAATCGGTCCCGCAATAAATGTAAGCCGATTTTGAGTAAGTTTTATAAAAAATTGGCAATAAGTAAAGTTCCGAAATTTATTTTCTTATGACTTAGAGTTCCAATCCATTGATTGTTGTTCACTATTGATATCCGAATAATTATCCGAATATTTGTCGGATTATTCGGAGATTTGATCTGTTTATCCGATTTGGATTATTTGAATAATATTTCAGATACAGATAAACGGATGACAGATTTATCGTATTAGAACTTTATTATAACTATAATTAAATATAAACTTATTGATTTTTGTATTGGTTTTTGGGTAATTTATATGGGACCGATTAAGGATGGAAAAGGTGTGGAGGAAATTTAATCGATCAGTTCCATCTAAATTATTCAAAAACTAACGCAAAAATTAATAAACTCATTAATTATGATTATAAAAAAATAAGTATTCTGCAACTTTACCTTATGACCAAAGACTGGTTAAAAATGTCAATTTTTTTTTTTTTTTACAAAACTTGTTCAAAAACGGCTCACAATTGCTGCCGAACGATTAACTAAATTTAGTGTAACTGCATTATATGTCAATATTTTATTGCCAAATTAATCCCATAAAATACACAAAATTTATAAACTTATTTATAGAATGCATTCCACATAACTAATTTTCGTACAGTTTGCTTTTGTTATTTTTTTTTTTCATCTTTAACTTTTAAAATGCCTATTGAAGAAAAATCACCAAACAACCGCAATAGCCAGCCTGTTAAATATTCAAAAGGTGTCGATTCATTAAAAGATGATAAACAAGAGTCTAAGGTTCAGATAACCGATACCTTATATGAATATGATGTAGATTCGAACGAGCTTATAGAAAAAATATGTCATATATATAAAGAAGAAGAAATGAAAGGAAATTTCGGTATTGATATTATTAACTTAATAGATCAATTTTTAACAAGCAAACAACAAAAACCCGAGGTTATAATAAATTGGAAATTTGGTTTGAATAATCAAATTGACCATATAATTCAAAATATACTTGGACATTGTTATCTTCTTGGAATATGGGTTAAAAAGGATCATGTTAAAGCATTTAAGTATTTTCAAAAATCCGCTGAAATGGGTGATGCAACTATAATAGGTTGCGTCGGATTATGTTATTTACATGGTTTTGGTGTCGAACTAGATCAACAAATTGCAATTAATTATTTTCAAAAATCTGCAGAAATGGGAAGTTTTTTTTCGATAGATTGGCTTTGTTATTTTTATGCTTATGGTGTTGTAACCGAAAAAAACGAAAATAAGGCTTTTAATTATTGTAAAAAACTTGCTGATATGAAGAATGCTTATGGAATGAGACTTCTTGGATATTGTTACGAAAAAGGAATTGGTATTGAAAAGGACACAAATAAAGCATTTAGTTATTATCAAAAATCTTCT